TTATTAAGTCTTAAGTAGAAACTATTTTCCTTTTATATAGGTTTGATTCATATTCCTGTCCTACTTCGAATACCTCACGTATATAATTCTTGGTACCTTAGGCTAGTTAAATCGAACCATTGTGCTTTCTTAGGATGACATTTTCATCATGTCCTCATAATAGAAATCTTTGTCAAGGTGAAAATATCCATCCAAGACAAGATCAACTTAATTCTATGATATAAAAGATTATATCCCTCACATATAGAATTCTTGGGATATTAAAATTTATATCAAAGAATTTAGTTATCCCACAATGGGACTTGGATTTAATAATTTTAATTTGGGAGATTTAGGTTTAACCTTAGTTAATTCATTTTTAACATGCCATGATTAATTAACCATTCATACATATCACATATATGCATAAATTAAAGCATGTGGTTGTACCATGGGGCTTTTCAAAAATACATCCTAAAAGCAAACTATTTACCCTAATACTAATCTTCGATTGGATCACACCAAATGCTCTTCGGTTCCCGTCTATCCGATTCCATTACAAATTGATCTTAAGCATGCAGGCCCGATTAAAATAAATAATAAAATTTAATATTACAAGCTATTTAATAAAGAATAGTACAAACACTTTTGAATATTTTGAAAACCAAATGGTGCCCATGATCAACCCTCTAATCTAATTCATTCATCACATAAATAATATAAACATTCATACCAAATATAATAAACAATTATTTAAGGCATGAATATAAACAATTATTAAAGTGTATATATTATATATATATATATATATATATAATATATATATATATATTCATGTGGTAATTTAATCATAACTTTGAGGCATGCAACATTACACATTTTATAGGAATTATTACACAAACACTTTTGTCATATCCACCTAAGATATATTATTTAATTACTACATCATTTCAATACTTTTCACAAAAGTCATGCATGACATAGATAATTGGGTTTTATTACTCCAAGAGTAATCATTCTATGACACAAGTTACTTTTAACTAAAGTATATTTTTATGACATATTTATCTTCTCAAGACAATCATGTCATCTTGCATCATTTTTTTTGAAATCATTCAAACAATCAAATTATTACATTTAAAAAATAATAATGTGCTATGCAATGATGCATTATAAGATAATTTAATCAAATTAATATCCTACATAAAATTACCACCATCATATAAATATCATATCACAATTCATCATATGAATTATAATCCTAACTTTATGCTAACATCAATTCCCACACACTACACTTGCAACATTTGCATATACTTCATGCAAAAATATGCTTTAATCAATAAAGAATAACACATTTACCATGTCAAAGCTAAATCATTTAATCAAGTCATGGAATGACATGCATGAACATTTTTCTAAATAAATCATCATGCAACATTTCCTAAAACTCATTCATCAATGCATGAATGAAATGACATATCTTATGGCAAAACTAGTCATGGCCAAGATGACATATATGCATGCGTGTAGTTCCCACACATCTCATATAACCATCATGCAAACATGCTTTAAACACATTCCAACACATCCATACATATTAGAGCAAGAAGAAAAACATGTTTTCCTAAATAAGAAGATGGCCGAGACTACACATGCCAAACATGCTTATTCCATCAAACAACTCATCCATTACAAAGGCATCTCAGTAACCATTACCATCATTCAAAACATATGACAATGAAGAAAATGAACATCCACCTCTGATCTATGTATGGCCGAGACATGCTGTAGAGATCTACTATGAAAAATCATTTTTAAATCATGTCACTAACAGTGCAAACTCAACAAGTTTGATGAACATATGAACGCATGGAAATGTCATTTTTGCTTATAAATTCGACATGCAAGGAGCTTTTAGCTCTGATACCATTTGAAAGACCAGCATGCATGCATGAAAGTGGTGGAAATGGAGAAGAAAGCATGAAAGGATGGATTCAAAAACCGTTTTTTAAACAAGGCATGGAAAAGATATTATACCTACTCCTTGCTTTGGATTGAAGATTAGCCTCAATGATGAGACCTCCACACTTTAACACCACCTTGAGAGGTTTAGAGAGTGGTCATGGCTTTGAGAGAGAGGAGCTTTTAGTTTGCTTTGAGTGAAAAATGTGTGTTATGAACTAAAATGCAACCTTTTGCATTTATATATACTTGGGTAATTTGCAATTATTTGTTTTTCACTTCCAAGCCCAACAAAACTTATTTAAAAGGGACCCCACGAATTTATTATGTCACCCTTTGAATAATCATATTATTCAAGGGTCCATGTAAACTAAACTAGTGTACTTAACAACCCATAAATTACACCCTTTTACCCTTTAACTATTAAAGGTTATTTTTGTTCATCTCATTAATCTTAATACTTTAAGATATAATAATTAAATATAATTAATTATAGCTGCACCATTTTAACCCTTAAATGTCACAAATAGTTTTCTATGTAACTATTACCATAGAATCCCGTTATTACCCTCGGAAGGGTGCAGCCCTCTTCGGATAATCATTTCTCTCTCTCTCATTCTCTAACTTCTCAAGGCTATTGGTGTGACCATGTAGGTCCACCGTGGATTAGCCGTGAGCCGGTTTTGGATGAATCCAAAAACCGTGCCAGAGGCCAACGACTATGGTAAACATCTAGCAATATGCCATAGTCCCTAAATACAATGAAGAAAATACTTCATCGAACCCATTTAGATCATACGTACCATGCAGGTAAGTCCCTCCATTGAGTATCCTGATCGAGCATGGATTCATGAATGTCAAATCATAAACTCGATCTTCTACCGAATCGTCGATCAATATGTCCGGAACTTGTCATCACAAACTTGCTTTTGTATGACTAATAATAGACTCTGGCCAGAGATTCTGATTTTCACATTTATCGACATTCATCTAGGAACTCGAATCCGGATGGAGTCAGGCGTACTCCCGATCCTATATTTCCGAGTCAATGGATCCCCTCTTGACCATCGTTTGTTTCCATATTGAACACATGACCAAATAGGCTTTATTATATGAAACATGATTAGTCTCGTATTTATACACCGTATGAACCATACGCATCCGTATCGGATCCAACTACAATGTCCGTCAAAGGACTAGATCGTGCACAGTCATAAAGGTGGAAAGTAACCCGCCCGCCCGGCCCGCGCGCGGGTTACTTTGTTTGGCGGGCCGGGCCTAACCCGCCCGCCAACAGGCAGGCCGGGTTAGGCCCGCCATTTTCTCCAAAATGGCTGGCCCAGCCCGCCCCGGCCCTAACCCGCCGGGTTAGGTGCGGGTTGGGCCGGGTTAGCCCGATTTTCCTTTTTTTTTTTTTTTGTTTTTTTGTTTTTTGTTTTTTTTATTTAATTTTCAAATAATTATAAATATTGTTTTTAATTAACTTTTCTAATATCATAATTTTCAATTCAATTTTTTTGTTTGTTAACATTTCAAATATTAATTCAATTTTGTACAAAAATATAATATAGAAAAATTAGACTTATTGAAGTAGGAAATTGAAATTTGGAAATTGGAAATATGATTAAAAATTGCAAAAACTAATAAAAATTAAAATATGAGCAAATTGCAAAAACTAATAAATGAATAATTGAGAGATTAGAGATTAAAAATATGAAGAATGAGAGAATTTGAGTTGTGAGAAAATGTGAGAACTTAGGGCCAATTTATAGGAAAAAATGGGAAAGAGAAATGACGAAAAAGACCCTTTCAACGGCTATAAAACGGCATATTTCAAGGGTAAAAAGGTAATTTGAAAAATAAAATAAAATTTTTATTTTTTTATTTTTTTTTCTTCGGCCAACCCCGGGTTGGCTGTTGCAACACCGGGTTGGCGGGTTGTAACTGCCAACCCGCCGGGTTGCACACAACCAACCCGCGGGTTGCCGGGTCTCCTTGCAAAGAGACAAATAGCAACCCGCCGGGTTGTGGGTTGCCATTGTGCAACCCGGCCCGCCCGGGGTTGCTACCGGTTAGGGTCACCTGGACCGCCATCTTGGCGGTCCGGGCTTAACCCTCATTTTCCCGGGCCGGGTTAGGGTTGACCCGCCTAACCCGGCCCAAATTTTCCACCTCTATGCACAAATATAACCAAACGATAAATTTTGACTACATGCTTTTCTAAGTGATTTTTTGTTATTCGGTCACTTCAAAAACAATTCACCAACTGCTAATCCATACCATGCCCCAGTGACATGACATCATTGTCATCTGTACTTATATCAACTCAGATATCTTTCGGAAGCATCCGATATGCCTACTGTCAATATAGTTTGCCCAATTATATTGCTTCCATAGGGAACCCTTTTTCGATAATTCATTTACCGATTAAATGAATCGTCTGGACAATTCATATACATACTTTATTTTAAATGCATGACTAATAAAGGAAGCAATTTAATATATGAATTGAATAACTCTTTCTTCTATTATTATGATATATGATACAGACAAAAATGCTCTGAAATCAATAACACAAATAGTTTCTAGGCATACACTAATATACACTAACACTCCCATGAATAGCACACCAATATATGTTCTATTTTTATTGATATGTTTATAAACAGATTCGTGTTTCTATGCTGCGTTGTCTAATTCTAGATAGTTTGAAATAGCATGAGACTTAATAGGTTTCGTCTTTCTGTGCAGCTATACTATCTATATTTAAATCATTTTTATTTCTGCATAATGTGTGAGACTTCACTTTCAACTACTTATTGGCCTTAATTGGTTCCCACACCCATCCTTTTTTGATATGCTGTATACAGTTAAGGGAGCTATTGTGATATTGTGTATTATAACTGCAAGTGAAGCATTTATGATCTTGAAGCCCTGTTTGCTGTTGGGATATCTATTTGCTTTTTCTTTGACCTTTTCCTTTTTTAATTTACTTTTTCATATCAACTATATCTTTTATTTGGATTTTTAGGCTGCATTTAGATCACAGCCACGGCAGTTATACTTGAGTTCAATCTGAAGCAAGATAAAGAAGAAAATTAAACTGATTGGTTATCCATGCAAGATATTCAAGAAAACAGCACTTATCAAGGATATGTTCACTTCAGATCTTGAAGTAGCTCAATGTGAGGGTAAAGAGGTTCGGACAGTCAGTGGAATCTGTGGACAGGTGAAAAAGGTACTTGTTTAATGAAGAAGTTTATGTTACTATCCTTTTGATCTCCGTTATTGCATTTGCTTGTCAGTATTTAATTATACTGTAAAATAACAAGAAGCTGTTTCGCTTCTCTAAAGATTGTTTCACCTTAGATGTGTAATTTTTCATAACTCATCAAAAGGGAATTCTCACCGTGGTGAAGGCTGATCATAATAACTTTTAATTGTTTATCTTGGCAGGCTGCAAAAGAAGAGATTGGTAACGAACCCAAAAAGAAGGGAGGACAAACTAGAGAAGGGATTGATAGGTGCACCTTTGAGGACAGAATTCTGATGAGTGACATTGTTTTCATGCGTGGATGGGCTGATGTTGAAGTTCCTCAGTTTTTCAACCCATTGACCACAGCCTTGCAACCTCGTGATCGGACTTGGCAAGGAATGAAAACTGTGGCTCAGTTGTGGAGATAAAACAATCTTTCTATTCCTGTTAACAAGGATTCACTCTACAAGGTAATTTGTGAGATATCAAGCCCGTAGTTAAGCCAGACTGGTTTAGAGTATCTTTCATGTGTCTTTCTGGCAGCCAATTGAAGGGAAACAAAAGAGGTTCAACCCATTGGTGATTCCAAAGTCGTTGCGGGCAGCTCTCCCATTTGAATCAAAGCCCAAGGATATACCTAGCTGGAAACGGCCACTTCTTGAAAACAGAAGAGCCGTAGTCATGGAACCTCATGAGAGAAAAGTTCATACTCTTGTTCAGCATCTTCAATTAATTAGAAATGAGAAGGTATGCATATCTAGACCAATATATTATATTTACATATTTGAAGCCTAATGCTCATCATGTCAACTAATATTTTCCCGTCTACTATTTAATCTCGTATAACAATTACCTATTTATTATGTACCCTTCACATGTCTCCAGTTACAAATTTCCTATATTTACATATTCGATTGGGGGTTTTGCAGATGAAGAAACGAGAGCTTAATGTCACGACCAGCCTGCTTGCCCAAGCATGCTGCTCGTTACTTACCGATTAAGTATACTTCAGGGTGAAGCAGACTTAAGAGCTAAGTTAACTTAGGAACTAAGTTAACGACTCAGCAGCTAGGTTCGGCGACTAAGCACCTTCGTTTCCAAGGTTGCACATATGCTCGACACCCACGAGCTTCGTTTCCAAGGTTGCACATATGCTCGACACCCACGAGCTTCGTTTCCAAGGCTGCACCAATGTCCGACACCCAGGGTTTTCTTAATGCTGAAGCATGTAGCTTAGTCATAGTTAATTTGAGGTGCTTGAGCCTATAAATAGGCAACTCCACCATGTAAATCATATTAAACTTGAATTCCAGCAATACACAGAGTTTACATTTTCTATATTTCTTCTGTTCATATACGTTAGCCTGTGTGAGCGTTAGGCTGCTTAGCTCATTTCCGACGAGTTAAGGCCGCACGAACTTAGCAAAGAAGTTAAGTGCGTGACAAGTGGTATCAGAGCCTCGGTTAGCATAACCACCGGTTTTCTCAATGGCAAAAGATACTGTGTCCAAAGGAAACAAGACGGCAGAGATGGAGGCTTCCAAGAACGTGGTATCCGGAGAAAGTCGACCCCAACCCCAACCCTCAAGGCAGAGAGGTAAGTCCAAAGAATTTCTTTCCAGTTTTGACTCACGCTTATCTCGTGTAGAAGAAAGGGGTGAGCACGCAGTTGGAGGATCTAGATCATCGAGTGGATGATCTAGAGTCGGAGGTTTCCGAAACTCACAATGTCGTGAAAGCTATGTTGCTTCAAATGGAAGAGTCGCTAGGACTGAAATGGGGAGAATCCGTGAGGAGTTCGTGGGGGAGCATAGCCAAAACCCGTCATGTGTTCCAAGCGAAATCAACAGCACGCTCGTTCGTTTAGACGAGGTGCAGGCTGAGTTAGCGCGATGCAAGGCGGCATGGTTACTAGGACCGCGCAGCAGCGTCATTGAAACAAAGGATTGACGTCCAAGGCCTAGAAGTTTTGGTGGCTCACGCAAGGCACAAGAGGTGGACAACTTCCGTGGGGACTAGACAAGTACTTCGGGGCCATTGGCGTCACGGAGGAAAGCCGAGGATTGAAAACTGCAGTCCTCTATCTCACAAACACCGCAAGGTTGTGGTGGAGGAGACGGAAGGAGACATCGAAAAAGGTATTTGCACTATCTCTACTTTTGATGATTAAAAGAGAGCTTAACGGCAGTTTTACCCGGAGAATGCCGAGGATGAGGCAAGAGCTCGCTTGCGACGAATCAAGCAAACAGGGACGATCCATGATTATATCAGGGACTTCACTGACTTGATATTAGAAATCCCGGAGATGTCCGACAAGGACTCGCTCTTCAATTTCATGGATGGGTTGCAAACAGGGTGAAAACAGAGCTAAGGCGTCGGGGAGTGCAAGATCTTGCCACAGCCATAGCAGTTGCTGAAGTTTGATTGTTACAGCACCAAAAAGAATCCAGCAGCAATCCAAAGATAAGAGGGGCGGCTTTGTTTAAGGTGGGGGAGACAGGGGGCAATCGAAAGAAAGCAAACCGAGACACCCGCCAAGATACTCTCATCCAAAGGCAAAGACAAGGGTAAACGTTGGGACAAGGGCTCCAACAAACCCCGCAACAATTGCTTTATTTGCAATGGGCCTCATTGGGTGAAAGACTGTCCGGAGAAGAAAGTCTTACTTCCCTCATTGCCAAGCATCAGGAGGGAAAGCCAGCCGAAAGTAGTGTGAGGGGCACATATGGGATCGATGCAACAACAACTCAATGGAATCCAGTCCGCACCAAAAACCCAAACCAAAGGGTTGCTCTATATGTGATAAGGCCATCAATGGGAAGGCCACCAAAGCCATGGTAGATACAGGTGCTTCACATAACTTCATTTCAGTAAGTGAAGCACGTCGGCTAGACATCAGGCTTCAGGAGGTGGAGGCACCATCAAGGCAGTCAACTCAGTGGCACAGCGATACAGGGAGTGGCTCGGCATGTAGAAACAACAATGGGTACTTGGTCAGGTTACTTGGATTTCTCGGTGGCACCAATGGATGACTACCAAGTTGTTCTGGCTTAGAGTTCATGAACAAGTCAGGGCATTTCCATTGCCATCAACCAACACCATGTGTATCATGGACGGGGAGAAAGCTTGTGTGTTGCCCACTAGCCGCTTTACCAAGCCGGAGACAGCAACACTCTGGCTAGGCAGTTCAAGAAAGGCATCAATAGGAAAGAGGAAAGCTACTTGGCCATCCTTAAGCAATACGACGACGAGGAGCCAACCGCCAGAGGCAGTGCCCCGGGAGGTAGCACAAGTACTCGAGCAGTTTATTGATGTCTCACCAATGAGCTGCCAAAGGAGCTACCACCTAGAAGGGAGGTAGACCACAGATTGAGCTGGAACCAGGCGCTAAGCCACCTGCCAAGGGTCCTTACCGTATGGCACCACCCGAGCTTGCGGAACAAGGAGGCAGTTACGGGAAACTACTAGATGCAGGGTTCACAAGCCCTCCAAAGCTCCTACGGCGCACCAGTTCTATTTCAAAGGAAGAAGGATGGTTCCTTGCGCATAGTGCATCGACTACCGAGCACTGAACAAGGTATCTATTAAAAATAGCTATCCTACCTTTGATTGCGACTTTTTGATCAGCTGGGGATGCCCGCTACTTCACCAAACTGGATCTGCGGTCAGGTTACTATCAAGTGCGCATAGCCGAAGGCGCGAGCCAAAGACCACCTGTGTTACAAGGTAGGGTCTTGATTTTGGTGTATTGCCATTTGGTCTAACAAATGCACAGCACCACATTTTGCACCTTGATGAATAAGATATCCATCCGTACACTCGACCGGTTGTGGTCGTCTACCTGACGACATAGTGGTGTATAGCAAAAAACCGGGAGGAGCATATGCGGCACTCAGGGAAGTGTTCCAAGTCTTGAGGGACAACAAGTGGTATATCAAGAAAGAGAATGCTCTTTCGCCAAGCCGGAGGTAATGTTCTTGGGTCACAAGTCAGTGATGGGCGCTTATGATGAGGATAGCAAGTGGAAGCCATTCAAGAGTGGGAACACCCCACCAAAGGGCCGAAGTTACGATCCTTCCTGGATTAGAAACACTATACCGTCGGTTTATCAAAGGCTACTCAACAAAGGCAGCCCGTTGACAGACTTACTCAAGAAGAGCAGCCGTGGGACTGGTCTAATGAGTGGTCAAGCCGCCTTTGAGGAGCTGAAAGCTGCAATCAGCCAAAAAACCTGTGTTGCCTTGCCAGACCACACTCAGCCTATGAAGTGCACACGGACGCATCCGACTTTGCCATCGGGGGAGTACTCATGCAGAATGGGCATCCGATTGCTTACGAGAGTCGAAAGCTCAATGAAACCGAGCGGCGTACAACGTGCAAGAAAAGGAGATGACAGCCATCATCCATTGCTTAGAGTATGGCGACACTACCTACTTGGGTCTAAGTTTGTTACTTTGACAGACAACGTCGCAACAAGCTACTTTCAGACCCAAAAAAGCTAAGTCCGAAGCAGGCACGATGGCAGGATTTTCTTGCCGAGGTTGATTATGTCTTGGAGTACAAGCCGGGCAGGATCAATGTGGTGGCAGATGCATTAAGCCCCAGGCCGAGTTGGCGAGCATCAGTCAAGTCACAAGCGCATTGGCTGACACGAATCAAGCAGGGACTCCAGCATGAGCCATTGGCCGTAATATCAGCCTTGGTGGAAGAAGGGAAAACCCGAAGGTTTTGGCTGACTGACGGCTTACTCTACCACAAAGGCAACCGCCTCTACATCCCGAGTGGACAATCTGAGGAAAGAACTGATCAAGGAGTGTCATGACTCCTTATGGGCAGGCCATCCAGGTATGAGACGCACCCTTGCTCTCTAAAATCTGCCTATTATTGCCTGGGATGCAGGATAGCATTGAGGGGTATGTACGCACGTGCCTCGTTTGCCAGCAAGACAAGGTAGTACAACAGCAACCGGCAGGCTTGCTACAACCATTGCCCGTGCCCGAGAGACCATGGGAAAGTGTCTCAATGGACTCATCACGTGTTTGCCAAAGTCGAGGGGTGGGAGCATCATTGTCGTGTGGACAGATTTAGCAAGGATGCCACTTTCATCCTGCATCCACCGATTGCACAGCAGAAGAAACAGCCAGCTTTTCTTCCGCAACATCATCAAGTTATGGGGCATTCCGACAAGCATAGTCAGTGATCGAGATCCTCGGTTCACGGGAGATTTTGGACAGTATTCAAGATGCTAGGATTAAACAGACTTCTCAACAAGTTTCATCCCCAAACTGATGGTCAGACTGAGCGCGTCAACGCACTGCTAGAGCTGTATTTGTGGCACTACGTGAGCGCTAGTCAGAGGGATTGGGCAAAGCTTCTGACCAAGCCCAATTCTCATTTAACTTGCAACGGAGCGAGGCAACCAACAAAAGTCCCTTCGAGATCACATGGGACGACAACCAAACACACCTCTTTTCCTAGCCACACGCTATGATGGAAAGAGCCCTGCAGCCTTCAGGTTAGCCCAGTCTTGGCACGAACAAACGAATTGCTCGTGCAGCCCTACACAAGGCCGCAAAAGGAATGAAGAAGTGGGCTGACAGAAGAGAAGGCATGTTGAGTTCCAAGAGGGTGATTGGTTCTTGTAAAGCTTCTGCCCCAACAGTTCAAGACCATGAGGAAAGTGCACAAAGGCCTTGTGCGCAAATACGAAGGCCCCTTTCAGTGATTCAAAGCATTGGCAAAGTTCGTACTGACTCCAACTCCCGCCAAAACTGAAGATACACCCGGTTTTCATGTAAGCTGCTGAAGCCATTCCATGAAGACCC